TTCCTGGTTCGGAAAAAGTCGGGAGAATACCGACCGGTCATCAATCTACGCGCCCTCAACGCACATGTGGTCTATCGCCACTTCAAGATGGAGGGCATCCACCTCCTGCGAGACCTTCTTCGAAGCAACGACTGGTTCACCAGGCTCGATCTGAAAGATGCATATCTGTCAGTCCTGGTGCACCCGGACTGTCGAGCACTCCTACGTTTCCTCTGGCACGGACGCCCTTCGCAATTCACTTGCCTCCCTTTTGGGCTCAGCTCAGCCCCATGGTGCTTCACCAAGCTTCTAAAACCAGTGGTGGCCCACCTGAGATCCAGGGGCATTCGATGCATCATCTACTTAGACGACCTTCTCCTCTTCTGCTCCGACGAACACAGACTACGCCAACACACTCACTTGGCCGTGTCCCTACTGGAATCCCTGGGTTTCGTGGTAAACCAACCGAAATCGGAGCTGACCCCTACTCAGACGATACAATTCCTCGGCTTCGAGATCGACTCGACGACATGCACTCTGAGGCTACCAGCCTCAAAGATCACAGCCATTCGCAAGGAGATTCGCAGGGTTCTCCGTCTCGATTCCATTCCACTACGCAACCTGGCCAGGATTGTAGGACTCCTCTCTGCTTCCATTCAAGCCATATTTCCGGGTCCCCTCCACTACAGGGCCATGCAACGTCTCAAGGCGAAATACCTATGCCACAGACCTACTTACGACCAACCCGTCCCGGTGATGACGGAGGTTCGCGAAGAACTATCATGGTGGCTGGACAGCATGCAAGCCTGGAATGGCAAGGCCATATTCGGAGACACCCCAGACTTCGTATTGGAATCAGACGCCAGCCTGTGGGGATGGGGTGCCACCAACGGAACCATCTCCACGGGAGGAACATGGACGGCACAGGAGCTCTCCATGCACATCAATTGCCTCGAACTCCTGGCGGGATCCTTCGCGATCCACAGCCTGGCCTGGGAAAGATCCAACTGCTGCATCCTCCTGCGCATGGACAATGTATCCGCAGTCCAGTACATCAACCGTCTGGGAGGCGCTGGCTCACGCCTGCTGTCGGATATCACAAGGGACATCTTCGACTATTGCCTCCCTCACAACATCACGCTTCAGGCGGAATACTTACCGGGAGAAATCAACCTCACAGCCGACTGGTTCTCTCGCCACTGGAGAGACGTCAGTGACTGGAAGCTAAACACGAGAATCTTCAGGGCCCTGGCAGCCCGTAGGGGTCCCTTTTACCTGGATCTGTTCGCCTCTCGCAACAATCACCAGACCCCGGAGTTTTTCAGCTGGCTCCCGGACCCGAAGAGCAAGGCGACAGATGCATTTCTCCAGCAATGGCCGACGACAGGAGCCTACGCTTTTCCCCCATTCTCCATGATTGCGAGAACACTACACCAGATGCGGACGCAACAGGTCAAACTGGTTGTCATAACACCCTTGTGGCAGAGCCAACCATGGTTCCCCGACCTCCTGGCCTCCTCCTACAAGGACCCTCTCCTACTACCATCCTTACCGGACCTGCTCACAGATCCCAAAGGGTATCTCCACCCACTCCTCCTGGAAGACCGGCTACCCCTGGTGGTTTGGTCTCTTTCCGGGGTTCCTGGCGAGTCAGCGGACTATCGCAGGCTGCTAGTGACCTCTTATGGGACTCATGGGCCCCGGGAACTAGACGCTGTTACCTTTCAGCTTGGGCCTCCTGGTCTACTTGGTGCATGGAACGGGACTCCGATCCTTTTACAGCACCTATTCCCATGATTCTTAATTTTCTTTCCTCCTTGTTTTCCTCTGGCCGCTCTTACCGCTCGGTCAACGTTGTTCGCTCCGCGATTTCGGCGGCTCACACCCCCATCGGGAATCTCCCGGTCGGCAAAGACCCTCTGGTCTGCCGCCTACTCCGCGGTATGCGGCTCCGCCGCCCCCCGGCCCCCAGGTACCCTCACCTATGGGATGTGGGACTGGTTCTCCGTTTTTTTCAGGGATTGGCTTCCGAATGACCGCCTCTCCCTACGCCAACTATCCGCTAAGTGCGCTTTTCTCCTTTGTCTAGTATCTTTCCGACGGGTTTCGGACATTCGGGCCTTCGACGTGGACGCTTTCGAGGTGGGCCCGGAAGGGGTCACGTTCCACATTTCCCGTCGCACTAAGTCGGGTTCGACTTCGGTCTTCTACCCCTTTTTCCCCGACGACCCGCAACTCTGTGTCGTGTCCACCCTTCACAGGTATGTTTCCGTTACCTCCTCACTCCGATCCTCTACGTCGGGCCAACTCCTAGTCTCCTACGTGCGCCCTCACGCCCCAGTCTTGGTCACCACACTGGCCCGATGGATCCGCTGGATCCTTTCCCTCGCAGGTATAGATCCCGCGTTCTGCGCCCACTCCGTTCGCAGTGCGGCGGCTTCATCTGCCTTCCTGGCAGGGGCGTCCCTTTCGGATATTCTCCGAACGGCGGACTGGTCTAGGGAATCCACTTTCCGTACATTTTATTTTCGCACTCCCCCTTCTGCTGAGATGTCACTTCTTCAGCGTTAAAATTGCAAAATAGGAAGCCTCCTGTCATGTTATAAAATTGAAGATTATGCTAGCTTTAGTGTACTAATAATCTTAATTTTAATAAGGACAGGAGGCGAGTATTTTCCCTCCCTTTTATTCTCTACCCTGACTCCTCGGGGGAGTGGATCTTAAGGTGATGGATTTTGGGATTCATGTTAGTAGTTACTCTATCTTCTGGACATATTCGGTATCCCTTCCATCTCTATCCCCAGTGTTTCCACCTAGACGGACAGTTTAGTTGTACAACATGCTTACACCTAACACATATTTAGCCTATGGCCAGCTTACAATCTGTCTGTACTGTTTAATTTACACCATTCTGTTAAAGCCCACAGGCGTGAACAGTTATGGTTCAGTACCTAACCGATTTTATACTCTCCTTTCAGTGTAACCCTCTTCAGGACCTCCACTGGTCGCTGGTTCGTTAACCTCACGACTCCGTAAGATGGGATGACGGCTTCGTTTGGTCGTTCCTCCTATCTCGTTACCAGGAGTCTCCTCAAGTTCCTCTCGCCAGAGACCGCAGTTACTGTTTCGTTGAGTTTCTGGATGTTTGAGCTCTATCTGGACTTGGATGTCGCTTTAAGAAAGAGGAAGTGTACAGGCAGCATGACCCTTATATACTATGCTGCTCAGTGATTTATTTGTTACTCTTTACGTTTTTCTTTACTGCTGTGGAGTTTAGTAAAGAGAGTAAATGCAAAATACTCGCCTCCTGTCCTTATTAAAATTAAGATTATTAGTACACTAAAGCTAGCATAATCTTCAATTCTAATCCACAACTGTTCTTTCATGGGCTGTCACAGTAGTAATATAGCTGGGGAAGCATATACGCAACATGGCATGGCATCCTTTCTGAGAAACACAAAGATACAACTGTAATGCTTAATTTATTATCAGGGAGCTGGCCTCCTGCATGTGTGCATCAATCAAATAAAGTACAGTTAACTCCCCGAATATCAGTTTACTATTCATTTATTACACAGTGCATTATGTTGAACTGAGAGCCAAATGTCAATCAAGGTTATTTATTAACGTGAATTTTAAATTTAAAGAACCACTCCACACTCAGTGAGCACTTCCTGTCAGTCCGCTACATTGAGTCAATGCCATGCTACATTGAGTGACTGGCAGGAGTGTGCGCTGTGCGCTTCCCTCCTGCCGCTACCTTAAATCTGGCCCCCTCCCGGGCTGGTGCGCCCTAGACGACTGCCTAAGTCCCCTATAGGACGAGCCAGCCCTACTGAGGTGTCCCTTTAACCTTGTGCAACATGTCAGAGTGATCCCAGCAGCTCCATACTGGAGCACAGGGAACAAGGCTCCACTCCAGGTCCCTCAGCAAGGGTAAGACAATCAAGAAAGGTTAGGAGGGTTGGTGGACCACAGAGTGACAAACAAATATAAAAAAAATGTTGTGGTGGTACGAACATGCACCCTTTTTGCCTAGTATCCTAGGTATGCCTCTGTAATAAGGTTATTAATAGAACAGAGCATCATCTAAATGTCACAGCATACTTAGGAATTGTCATTGATCACATTCACCCCTTGCCTGTGGCCCATGTCTACCCAGTTTTCATATAGGTAATTTGCCATATCTCAAAGAAAACATCATCACAAGTTGGTTGAACAAAGTGAAAGTTACTTCAAAGGTTACTCCAACCACCATGACCACTTCAGTAATTTGCATTTCTGCTGGAAACGCTGCACATACAAAGTAATTTGCACTTGTGTGCCGGGAGCTAGTTACACGGCTGGCACACATGTTTTTTGCAGCCTGAAACTCTGTTTTGGTCTGCCTAATGTCAATTCTGTGCGTAAAATACATATGACATAAGCGCGCAGAGCATGCTGGCAATGGATGTATAGAGTTTCTCCCTTGCAGGCAGTGCTTACAAGGGAAAGCACTTTTTCCCCTTCCCTGACTCCCCATAAAATTGCTAGAGCAATGTGCAATTGGACTACGGAAGGCCCTGGCTGACGTTAGGAAAGGGCATGGAAGGCAGTGCCGGCAAAACACCACATTTTGCCAAGGAGCATCTTCTTATAGAGATGTATTGAATCAATTTGTCTCTATGGGGAGCATTTAGCGTCTCCCTGCAGAGCGTAGATAGGAAGCACCTCTAGTGGCCATCTACATTGCAGCTATAAATACCAGGATCACTACATTAAGCTGTAGTGGTTCTGGTGATTATAGTGTCACTTTAATCAGATTCTCCAAAGAATGTTTCCAGCATTGAATCCGTGGTGAAAGACCTCAAGCCATGCTGGAGGTAAAAGGTGTCTTGCTTGGAACTAGATAGGTGTACCTAATTAAGTACACACTAAACATGTATACATAATTAAAGAGCTTTAGAGAAAAATGGCACATAAGACAAATTAATTCATTTTTGCTGTTCATGTTGGAAATAGACACAAACATCAGAACTTACCAGTCAGGAAATCTTTTATCTTCTTTATAAATTGCCGCAGTTTATCTGTGGAATCCTCCATTCTCCGTTTGGCGTCCTCTGCTTTGTTCAGTGTTAACTCACTCTGAGCCTTTGCCTCCTGAGCTATTCCCTGGACCTCCTGAATCTGGATAATGAGAAATTTGCCATGTACAATGTTAAAATATAGTATATACACTAAACAATTCATGGGGTGAAAGAGGGTAATTAGCAAATGAACAGGGCAGGTCTCCAATAAAACTAATATCTGCTAAAACAATAAAATAAGTTATACTTACTATCAAAGTCCAAATAAAAATGCACAAATCCTGACAAAAAAACCCCCAAAAAAACATAAAAAACCCCCCAAAAAACGGATGGAAAAATTCAACGAGACGCAATAAAATGAATTCATCTCCACCCCACGGGGCTTTGCACAGACTGAGCTTTCATAGTGGCTTTCTGACACTATGTAAGAGTAAGAGCACTCTAAGAGTCAAGTCTCACTTCTCTCAAAACTTTTCTATCAGAGTGCTCTGGTTTACAAGCTGATTAGTATGGAGCCGTATTGATAAAATGGGACCTTTTCTAGCGACTGGCAAACAAGAGCTGTCAAGTCATTAGTTTTAAACTTTTAGTAGACATGCCTTCACATTCTCCCTCATGGCAGTTGGGGACATAAGGAAGTGAAATATGTAATGTGGGGGTCTATACCCACAAAAGTGAATTATCTATAAGTTCACAGTTTAAGGAATTATTTTGAAATTAATAAAATGCTCTCATAAGAAGAATTGCTTAGTACACTTAAACTGAATAGCACATAATTCTGGCCTTAAATTTGAAATTCACTTTGAATTCTCACTTTGGTAAACAACCCTGTTAATATACATGTATAACTGTAAATGTGTCTTTTATTGTTTGTATTATGAATTGATTTAATTATTTTAAGTGCCACTTTTATATCCTATTTTATGGTAAATGTTGCATGTGAATGGGTACCAGGGTGTGAAATGCATTGGAGCCAACCCCAGCATTCCCCGTCTTCAATTTAGTTATTTCTAATAATTAAAATATAGGCAGAATAAGTTCTAATTCTGCAACATGCACTATATTTTATGAATACTCAATTTTCAAATATTGATGATAATAGTCATTAAATTGAATGAACTTTACCATATTGCCTGATTTGATTCCATACAAATTAATTTATGCAAACCTAAATTAGATATTAGATGGTAGCATATGAAACAAAATTAAAAATACTTGTTATACAGCAACATTCTACAAATGATTTCATGATTTTCATAGGCTTTTCATAGGTTAAAAAACACTAAATTGTAAAACTACAATACAATTCGAATTGGGCCTGGAAATGGAACACTAGTTTAGAAATCACACACCAACAATTCAAGCTCTCGGCATACGCAGATGACGTGCTCCTGACTATTACAGACCCAATGCGATTGATAACTACACTCGAAACACTACTGAATGAATACGGTAACGTTTTAGGCTATAAAGTCAATTTAACGAAATTCGTGGCTATGCCCTTCCACCTCTCGGTCCTGGACATGGCAGCCATCCAACAGACGTTTCACCTTAAAATTGCAACAGAAGCATTTATGTACCTGGGTATTCGCCTCACTGCCAACCCCGCCTCCCTAGTCAAAAGTAATTACACTCTACTTTTTAACACTCTCACAGGAGACCTCGAGAGATGGATAGATAACCAATCTCATGGATAGGGCACCTACACTCAGTAAAAATGAACATTCTCCCTAGATTACTTTTCCTATTTCAATCACTACCGATTCCAGTCACCAGAGGGCAAATATACAGAAAGCAATTTACATGTTTATCTGGCAAAAAAACATGCTAGACTTACCCGTAATCTCTTATATCGACCTAAATCTAGAGTAGGATTGGGACTACTCCATTTATATTACTACTACCTCGCAGCACAATTAGCGCAAATTGTACACTGGCATTCTCCCTTAGAACTCAGAATATAGGCAGACATAGAATCCTTATTAACAGGGACTGACTTACCCCAGTTCTATATCTGGGTCCCTAAAGCCCATAGAGCCTGCCTGAGAACCACCTGCCCGAACCATCCTAAACTCCATTCAGATCTGGGATCAAACAGTGCAAAAATACACCCTTGAGAGAATCCCTTCCCCAATGACTCCTGACAAAAAAGATCCGTGCTGTTGCAGAGAACAATTGACATTATTTGAGAAACTATGTTTTGAGGAAACATCTCAAACCAAACTAATAACACTACTATATCAACACATTAGCTCTGAATCAGGGGAATGGGGACACCTTTGCTATACAGACTAGTAGGAACCGACCTGTGGGAGGTAATTGAGGGGATAAACTGGCAAGCTATCGGGAAGGCCTGTGCTAAAACATCCATGTGTGTAATGCAACAGGAATAATGCTATAGAACACCTTTTAATACCTTTTGGGATATGTCATTGAGCTGATTAGCCATGTTTTCTAGTGCAATTGTTGCATTTTGAGCATTTTTGAGAGCCTTGGTAGAGATTGGCACAGCTCCATTACACCCCTCCCCACCACACTTTCTCTGGCCTTCATCGTCTCTGCAGTTAGCTCCACCGCATGGTGCTTGATCGCATGGCTGGTCGCCGGGCGCTCCACAAATCTTTAAAAGGAAGAACAAACAGCTATTAGAGTAGTTGTATTTTTTACTATCAACAGTATAATAATTATGGAATTTTCAGAAACAAGTCTTAGCAGTGAAGCTGCAGTTGAGACTTGCTGTGCATGCTATAAACTAGAAGCGTAAGTAGTACCTTCACATTGATATGGTTGACATTCAGATCCTGAACCTTTTTTTGAAGCTCTTTCAGGGAGCTCTTCTGTGCGGTCATGTTTTTTCTATAGGCATCCAGCTTGTCCTTCAGATGTTTCTCGGTTTCTAGACGTGTTTGCCGAGATTGGAAAACAGGACTTCCGGGTCCTGATACAGAGCCATTAGCAATTCTTTCAGCAGCCGTAGACTCTAAGTAGGACTTTAGAATGCTGCTGTAGGACTCTAGAAACAAACATAGCATAAATGTGAGTGCAGAATTGTTAAAGTGGGTTTTTCAGACTCAATAAACTTGTCAATATATAGAAAGGTAAATAAGTGGGACCGTTTTTTTTTAGATAAAATGGCTCTTACAGCAGTAGTGTTAAGTTTACAATTTTCACATGCAGTTGGTTCATGGAAACTTAAGCACCATAACCACTACCAATATAACCACTTCATCACCCCTGTCTCTTTTTACCTATCATTGCTATTGAAGGTTGTATGCTTTTATCACTGTAACTACAGGGGTACCAGACTACAAATTGTATGGGGAACACCTACCAGGATCCTGGATCCTGGACAGGTCTGGATTTAACATTGCTGAATAAGCTTTTCAAATGACTAAATATGTTTGGATAACCACTATCCTTAGCGTGCCCCTTTAATCAACAGTTAAGATACTATAACAATATAACAAATGGGAAGTTTCAACTCACTAAGACAAGCCTGAAACAGTAATAATCCTCTCACTTGTATAAACATGTAATGAAAATCTAACTTATTTTATCTGCCACTTACCACTGAATTTAATATACATATCAAGTCATCATGTTTTATAAGGTAGTTTATCTAGATAGATCCATATCTCTAGCTCGAAGAAGGTTTGCCTGTTTTTCAGGTTACATATAAATGATTTATGCTGGTCCAAGTGAAATCAATGAATTCACAGAATTCTCCATGGTGGTTTCATCATTGAATCATTCAAATTCCTGCTTTCATTACAGAAACACTGTAGGCACCATACCTACTTCAATTGATTAAAGTGGTTATGGTGTCTGGAGTCTGGGGTGCCAGGTCCCACTTCACTGCTAAATGGTTTACTCACTGTTTAGCAGATACTTGTCACCTCACATTCATAACCTTTGCTGTGACAAGTCAGACGGAAGGCAGGTAGGTGGAGCTAATCTGTAAACTTACCCAAAAGCCTCTGATAAAATAATAGGATAGTGCCGCCAAGCGTTATAAAATTGCAAAATGTATCAGGCTTTCTGTACCATTCTAAATCACTATCGTGCTGCTAGCTAGTTAATTACACTAGTATACCGTGACCTGACAATGAAGAATAAAAAAGAAAAACGTTGCTTGATAAACAACAGACTAAAATGATGTGTTATTTTGGGTCAATATGTGGACATTTCCTTGGCATTAGAGTGTCATTGCCAACTGATATCAGGGCAGGGCTGCTGCAGCCTTACCCTAGCAGAGGATGCTACGAATGACAGTTGTCCAAACTCATTATGTATAATCGTTATATTGCACTGGTTTACCATTGAATCCTACGACAGCTATGGCTTCTATCTGGGACTTTAGCAAATACACTGTCTTGTTGACTTGAGTAACGTCTAATAGCAGGTTGTCAAGCCTTCTGTTTTGCTTTCTGTCTTTAGCTGTGGTATCATTCATTTTCTTTTCTCCATTATGGAGATTAAAAGAGAGGAGAGCAACTTCAGTCCTAGAAAAAAAGAAATAAGAGAGTGGACTAAAAATAACCTGTGCCAAACATTTATACCCAAGGAAAATGTTTACAACATAGTTTCATTAAATTAACTGTTGTGTATAATTACAGACTTCAGACTGGCTGGGCTTCATGGGAACAGTGGGCAAATGGTAGATCCCCAGCTGGCATAGCATTGTGGAAGTTCTCCGACAGATGGGGATCCATCTTTTGGCCACACTTGCACTAGAGGGTTTCCCAGAAAACATACTTGCACCAGGGCCCTCTGTACATTAGTTCCACCACTGGGATAATTAACGGGAGGTACCTGGATGAAAGAGCGGGAAACAGAACTTCTGATTCTGACTGAGTCTGTGAGTAAGCAGTTGTATGCCTCTAAAACGGATTGCCATGATATGCCAAGTTTCTGCCTGTAAGACTGCCATGATATGCCAATTATATGCCTCTAAAGCGGATTGCCATGATGTGCCTAGTTTATGCATCTAAACCGGATTGTCATGGTGTGCCAATCTTATGCATCTAAAGTTGCCATTGTGTGCTAAGTTTATGCATCTAAAGCTGATTGCCATGATGTGCCAAGTTTATGCACCTAAATGTGATTGTCATGATGTGCCAACTGCCAAGTTTATGCATCTAAAGCTGATTGCCATGGTGTGCCAAGTTTATGCATCTAAAGCTACCATGATGTTCTAGTTGTACGCCTATATAACTAATTGCCATGGTGTGCCAATTTTATGCACCTAAAGTTACCATGATGTGCCAGGTTTGTGCTTCCAAAAGTGATTGCCATGATGTGCCAAGTTTATGCATCTAAAGCTGACTGCCATGATGTGCCAAGTTTATGCATCTAAAAGTGATTGTCATGATGTGCCAACTGCCAAGTTTATGCATCTAAAGCTGATTGCCATGGTGTGACAATTTTATTCTTATAAAACTAATTGCCATAGTGTGCCAGTTGTATGCCTCTGAAGCTGATTGCCATGGTGTTCATTCTTAAAATATGCAATAAAAGCAAGTGGGTCTAGAAAAATTACCATTTTCAAAAGCCCTGATTTAAACACTAAAACTGCTTCATTAAGCTGAAGTTGTTTTGATGCTTAGATTATTCCTTTAAAGGACCACTATAGTGCCAGGAAAACATACTCGTTTTCCTGGCACTATAGTGCCCTGAGGGTGCCCCCACCCTCAGGGTCCTCCTCCCGCCCGGCTCTGGAAAGGGGAAAGGGGTTAAAACTTACCTTTTTCCAGCGCTGGGTGGAGAGCTCTCCTCCTCCGATCCTCCTCTTCTCCTCCCCGTCGGCTGAATGCGCACACGCGGCAAGAGCTGCGCGCGCATTCAGCCGGTCACATAGGAAAGCATGCATAATGCTTTCCTATGGACGCTGGTGTGCTCTCACTGTGAAAATCACAGTGAGAAGCACGCAAGCGCCTCTAGTGGCTGTCAATGAGACAGCCACTAGAGGAAATAGGGGAAGGCTTAACCCATTCACAAACATATCAGTTTCTCTGAAACCGCTATGTTTATGAAAAAATGGGTTAACCCTTCGCTGGACCTGGCACCCAGGCCACTTCATTAAGCTGAAGTGGTCTGGGTGCCTAGAGTGGTCCTTTAAGGTTTGGGGAAATATAGGGTATTGTGAAGCTTCAACTTTAAAATGATTTAGACTGAGGAAAAGACTTGGTGAAAGATTGATAGAGGTTGCAGTCTACAACATCTTGAATGCTCTCCTGACACATTTTCATATACCCTTATAACACTTTATACCCCTGAACCACACCTCTTGACATTTCAAATGTTCAAAAAGGGACACTTTATTTTTAGGGGTGTGAGTGGGGGTGTCGTCAGGGGCAGAGCTGTTCGGAGAAATTTTAGACGACTTACTGATAAAAATGTATGTAACTAAAATGTGATTTAAAACAAGAACAATGTATTTTATTTACACAGGCTGATTTATCAACACAATTTATTGACACATTACTGTAAGATGTATTGCTATTAAGTCATACACTCGGACATAATAATAATATGGAGCTCCTAGAAAAGAGGGGCATTAGGATAGAAAAGAGGGACAGAGGGATTTCGGCTCAAATCGGTACTGCCTCTACTAAATAGGGACACTTGGGAGCAGGCCCGGACTGGCCATCGGGCACACCGGGCAAATGCCCGGTGGGCCGCGGTGTCCGTGGGGCCGAGGCCGGCAGGGGAGATCACAGGATCTCCCCGGCCGGCTCCTGCAGGGCCAGCGCTACCCGAGCGCCGGCCCCGCTGTGTGCCTCCATGGGCCGGTGGGGGGATCAAAGATCTCCCTCACCGGCCCATTTAAATAGACCTGCGGCTGGGGAGGGAGGGAGAGGACCCGGCGGAGCTCTGTCTTACAGCTCCGCCGGGTTTCTCTCGCGAGATCCGGAGCGTTGCCATGGCAACGCCCCGATCTCGCGAGAGAGTTCACTCACCACTGGACCACCAGGGATGGTGTGCGAGTGCCGGTGCCCCTCCAGCTACGTGCATGTCCCCCTCGGGTTAAAAGGTACCAGAAGAAGGAGGGGGGTTTTATTTTTTGCTTAGTTATTTTTTTTTTGCTTAGTTTTTTTTTTTTCCCCCTTGGTTTTTTTTGTTTGTTTTTTTTTATATATTTACCCCCACTTAATTTTTTATTTGTTTATTTACCCCCCAACACACAACATTTATACACAGCACTATCACACTCAGCATTCTCAGCACTCACACAACACTCTCACACACATCACACCCAGCACTCTCACACCCAGCACTCTCACACGCAGCACTCTCACACACATCATAGCACTTTCACACACATCATAGCACTTTCACACACATCATAGCACTTTCACACACAGCACTCTCACACACATCACAGCACTCTCACACACAGCACTTTCACACTCAGCACTCTCACACACATCACACACAGCACTATCACACCCAGCACTCACAACACACAACACTCTCACACACAGCACTCTCACACACAGCGCAGCACTCTCACACATCATAGCACTCTCACAACCATCACACGCAGCACTCTCACACACATCATAGCACTCTCACACACAGCACTCTCACACACATCATACACAGCAATCTCACACATCGCAGCACTCTCACACACATCATAGCACTTTCACACACAGCACTCTCACACACATCATACACAGCAATCTCACACATCGCAGCACTCTCACACACATCATAGCACTCTTACACACAGCACTCTCACACACATCATACACAGCAATCTCACACATCGCAGCACTCTCACACACATCATAGCACTCTCACACACATCATAGCACTCTCACACACATCATAGCACTCTCACACACATCATAGCACTCTCACACACATCATACACAGCAATCTCACACATCGCAGCACTCTCACACACATCATAGCACTTTCACACTCAGCACTCTCACACACATCACACAACACTCTCACACACAGCACTCAGCACTCAGGCACACCACTCTCACACACATCACACTCAGCACTCACACACATCATACACAGCACTATCACACTCAACACTCATACACAGCACTATCACACTCAGCACTCACACACATAACACACAACACTCACACACAGCACTCTCACACATCAGTCTCACACACATCACACATCATACACAGCACTATCACACTCAGCACTCACACACACTAAAACAGACCTTATTACACAATACCACACCATGACCAGCTCACTCTGCACAAACGTAATACCACAAACAGGCTCCAAACACATGCACAATAATCTTTCCTGGCCCTTTTGTCTCCTGGTATCCATTTATAGAGACACCAGAGACAAGTTGCAAGGAAACAGTGCAAGCATGTTATTAAATTTGCTTGCACTGTGCAGAACAAATACAGGGCTTTTTTCTCATGCTAGAGCTCTTCAGCAGAGCTCTGCGCATGGTGTGCCCTGGAAGAGCATTGAACCAACATGCTCACTTTGAGAGGGAGCGTGTTTGTCATGAGTGATGACAAAACACACCCTCTCTGCCCCGCCCCCTTCTTAGTGGGCCGCTGTGATAAAAAAATGCCCGGGCCGAATTTTTTTCCCAGTCCGGCCCTGGGCACAGAGTAGAAATAAAAATGCAGTTTCAAATCTCATATATGGGGATTCAGTTTCACCACATATTCTACAATTCTGAAAGAGGCTAATTTTAATAATATGTTGTAAGATCACTGTGAATATTTATACTGCAAAATTAATTTGATATTGCAAAGCCTGCAATATTCTAAACAGAAGTAAAAATTTAAGAAAAAAATAAAATAATAATGCATAAAGAATAATGCATAAAAAAAAAATGCAGTGTCAATTAAAGTGATAAAACTCTGATATATTAAATCACATTGCATATCACATATCCGCTATATGAAAAGTATAATTAAGGTAACTTTACTGTCCAAAGCCCCCTCACATCTATTTTAATCTATACTTTTCTGTGCTCACCTCCAAAGAAGCCTCTGAAACTGGGGGCTGAGGGGTGCACATCCCAAAGGCATCTGATTTCAGACTTAAAGAAAAATAAATGATAGAAAAGGAATCGCAGGAACACCCATAACATGCATTTTTGTATATAATCTTAATTTGCAGATATTTTATGCCTTAAAGACATATAAAGGATATTTAATTAAATATGCAGGTATCTTTAAAAATTAACCCCTTAACGCCGTTACGGCGTTCTATGCCGTTCCCATTTAAATGGGCTTTAAAGCCGTTGCGGCGGCATTGAACGCCGTAACGGCTGCAGCCCCCAGAGCGCCTGGGATACTTAACTCCGCCGCGATCCTCTTCGGGAGGACTGCCTGACAGCTCAGGCAGCCCTCCCCTGGAAATGAGGCCCTCGGGGGCCATGTGATCGCTCTCAAAGAGCGATCACATGGCCCCCTATAGCTGGCTGTGGATCTGCCAGCAGGGTGACTGTCTGAAATGTCAGACAGTCCCCCTGCTGGTGAGAGCTGTAAAAAAAAAATATTAGACATGTGTAAAATTAAAATAGAAATGTATTTATATATATATATATAATATATATATATATATATATTATATATATAATATATATACATATTATATATATGTAATGTCATAGAAAGTGTATTTTAATATTAATATAAGTACATATATTAGTATTAAAATACACTTAGAATGACGTTACATATATATAATATATATATTATATATATAATAGATATATACACATATATTATATATATATATGTATATACTTATAATTACAATAATAAATAAATAAAATATTAAAATAAATAAATAAAACATTGAAACAAAATGTTATATAAATTATATATTCATATGTAATTTCATTCTAACTGTATTTTGTTATTGATATATATATAGGTAAAAAAAATACACTTAGAATTACATTATATTTATATCTATATATAAAATACAAATAACTGCAAATATATATATATATATATATATATATATATATATATATATATATATATATAAATACATATAATTACATAAAAGATTACATTAGTATACACATAGAATTTAAATACCTATAAATGCAAAGTAAAGTTCTACGTGTATATTTAAGTAATCTTTTAACATAATTATGTGATTTGATTAATTAAAATTTGATTGACATGCCTGACAACACAGGGAGAAAGTGCAGAGAATTTAATTTGCAAGCACTATATTTGACCCTGTAACTCTCCAAGACACCATAAAACCTGTACATAGGGGGTACTGTTTTACTCTGGAGACTTCGCTGAACTCAAATATTAGGTTTCAAACTGGTAAATTGTATTACAACAATGATATTTTAAGTAAAAGTTAAGTTTTTTGCATTTTTTACAAACGAACTGCACTTTTATGGACTATATTATTGTTGTAATCTGTTTTAAAACACTAATATTTGTGTTTAGTGAAGTCTCCTGAGAATAACAGTACCCCCAATGTACAGGTTTTATGGTGTTTTGGAAAGTTAGAGAGTCACATATAAGGCTTACATTTCATTTTTTTGACATTGAAATTTGCCAGATTGGTTATGTTGCCTTTGAGAG